ATTATGAGGTCTATCATATGATTGACTACAGATTTTCAAAATGACCCTATGGAAAACAGACACACCACTGGGCTTATTAATATGTTGATATTGATGTGACTATGCTGTTACGTGTGTTTTATTAAATTTTTGTGTAGCTAGAGCACAACACTGAAGGGGGTCCAATAATTTGTTGCAGTTTGGATAAGGTTTGATTTCTTACCATACACATTTTTGCTGCAACAGGTACTACTATATTCAGCTTTGTGGAGAAAATTATTGGGCTGCTTCCCCTTTCTCCTTCTCATCTTTTTCCTCTAATAGGCTTGTGCCAAAAAGTAGCTTTCATTAAGTTTTATCTCAAATTAAGATTTAGTTGCCAAGGATAAACATTTCATGTTCATCCGAAAGATTGGTTGGAGATTTGACAAAGTCAAGGATTGATGTCTTTCATACCTCTCACGAAATTGCTTTTTTTGGGAGGCTACATGCAGTAATATCTTTTTCTTTTCTGTACTTTTGCGTACAAAGTAAACAAAGTGAATCTAATTAAAAGATTAATTCCTTAACAATTATCTCCCTTGTAACCACCATAATTTTGAAAATTTAATATTTGAAAATCAGGCCATCCTTTGTTTCCTGCTTGAAGCTGTTCTGCTAAAACAGTACACATTATAAGCCCTAATTAATTATTGTCGTGTATAAAGTTGTACATATTTTTTAAAATATGACTTTAAACTTTATTAACTGCTAGTATTAGTTTCAATATCTATAATCTAACTAAAATTTTATTAAAGACAGATTTCAAAAGGGACGCATCAAGGAAAGTTTTCATGCTTTTAGGGATATCTTTTATCCTTTCAAATGAAAATATAACACTTTTCAAAACCAAAAAGAATTAAAAATACAACATTTTCTTCCCGCAATCTATTGACTGACACATAATTACCTAGTCTTGATGAGCAATGCAATAATTTGGCTTTCACCTGTGAGAACGGTTTGATGCTATCGATTCATTCAAAACAAGAAAATTGAGCTGAAAAACAAAATTTAAATAGTCAGAAAAAACTTAAAATAATTGAATTTATGCATGCTGTACATCTTGATAAAATTATATTCCAATTTTTTATGAACTTTATTTATGTATTGAGATATTAATAAAAACTAAAAAATAAATTATTTTTACATTATAAATCAAACTGATTGATAATACATTAAAAAGATCGATTAGACAGCATTAAAGGCTTCGCAGTGCGACATATAATTGTGTCGCAAATAAAATAAATTTGGGTTGAGACCAGGTGAGGTACTATTAAGGAAATATCCTGTTTTTCGGCGATAGGGTTATCTTTTGTCTTGTTGCCTGTTGGACTACTTCAATTATCTAATTGGAATTGAAGGACTAGCAGTTACAAACATTCACTTAATTAATCATTTATGTTTGACCCAAATAAAAAATAAAAATCACTTAGTGCTATTATATGTCTGTCATTTCATAGACTTTAAATTGAACGTGAATGTAAATATATTATTATAGATTAGTTTATTTATGTCAAATAAAATTAATAAAACAAGAGGACGTGATTAATTTGTAAGAATTAATTCAGTTTAATTTGTGATTTTAAATTTAAGAATAAATCTGTGTTTAAAATGTTTTAATTAATTTTATTTGCAAAAATAATAATTTAAAACTCGTGCGTACAAAGTGATGGAAACATTTAACAGTAACAATTAAAAATTAAACTATCTAAAAGTTTAATAAAAAAACTACAACCACATCATACCAGGGTTGGTTTGGTTGAGTAAAAAAATAAATAAATTACATAAACTGATAAGAAGAATGTGTGAAACTAGACATCATTTAGCCAACTTTTCCATTCCCGGAAAGTTAATTATTTGTTTAACTGTTCTAACTTGATTGAATTATATTCCTGATTAAAGTTAAATGAATCGCATCAGATGACATAATGTTATATGACAAGCAAATTCTCTTTATGTCAAGTTCCATCTTAAATCTCCGTCTATTTGTAAAACAAGAAAATGAAAAATGATGCCAACTCTTGCTCTTTCTTTAATTTGTTGAGTTCGTATTTAGTTTTGGACCCATAATTTATACCTCACTTCAGAGATCCATCTTAAAATTTTGAAACAAAGAATAAAAATACTTCTTAGGACCTATAAAATAGGTCTGGATTTGGAACATTGAACATAGCTCAAACAGTTGGTAATATTATGAAAGTCTTGCATCAACAATTAAATATCATGAGTCCATCTGCTTTCACCGTTTGAACCCAAGTAATAAAAGTGAATATTATAATTTCATATATGTTGTAAATATATGTATGTACACATATTTACATGTAGCACGAGCAATGGTCGTGGAATCAGCATCCAGGACCAGAAATGTTTAGCAACTGATTTGCTATATAATTTTAACGGCTATCTTGTCAATTCTCATTTGTCTTGACAATGAATATTGGGTATGTCCGTCCCTAAGCTAAGATTGGAATTTCACTTCATGCATCCAATGCTTCACTCTATTTAATTAATGCACATTAATTCATGTGTATAGTTTTGATTCATACTATTTGTCATTTTTGATAACTTTATTCATCATGTTGATAATGAACTCGGTTAATACGTCATCTAATAAACATCATTGTTCATGAAATGCATTTAGGACCAGAATGTTTTTTTTCTTATTGTTTAGGTAATCGCAGTCACTAGGCAATATTGGGAACTAGAATGTATGAGCAACCAATTGTTAAATTTAAACCTTTGTCCATCTGTTGTCTGGCCTTGAGAAGGTGATTCCCCACAGAGAAATTTTTTCTTCCACTAAGCAGGATTGATCTCCATGACTCAGTTCAATCTGGTGGCTGAAATTTACGAAACAATAATCTAAATTTTTCATGACATAGTAAGACACAAGTAGAAACATAAGCTACTAAAATTTATTTACCGGATTTTTTAAGTTCTCTTTGTGAGCAGTAGATTCCTTATCTCTTAAGTGTTTAGTGACTATGATATTTATTATTAAAAAATTTAAAAGTTTTATGTTTAGAGACTAAAATTTATTACAAAAAATTATATATTTTATGATTATAATATTTGTCATTAAAAGCTTTAAAAATCATAATTAAAATAATTATGTGACGATATTTAAATTTGTCATTTATTGTCACTAAAATTTTTACTTCATAATTTATTTCATTTACAAGTTTATTAGACTAATAAAATATTTTTTTCTCATAAAATAGGTGAAATTATAATTTTATTAGTAATTAATTTTGTATTTGTTACAAATTAGTATTTGATTTCTTTTGCATTAATAATAATATTAGTGATAATATAAAAATAATTGTCACAAATAATTAATTATTAGTGATAAATTTTATATTCATTACTAAAATATGGTCACTAAAAATTAAATTTTTTTATAAATATAATATTTTTATTTATTAATATATCACTTAAATATTTAATTAATTCACAACTTATAATAAGGATATTTTATTATAAAAAAAAATTCTATTATGATAACTTTTAAACATATACATTACTCAAAAATTAATCTCAGCTGATACTCAAACTCTCGAATCTCAACTTTAACTTGAAATTTATAATATAAGAATGAATTTTTATTTTTAAAATTTTTAATTTTAATATGACAATTAAATAATTTATATAATATTATCTAAATAATAATATCAATTTTTCAAATTAAATTATTAATTATTAAAAACTCTTTATTACTATAACTAAAAAAATTACCCTGATAAAAAATATTTAAATTTAATCTCAGTCTCAAATTTAAATTTTAATAAATATAATTGAATTTTAACGCTGTAATAAATGGATTGTTCAACTATTCATATAAAAAAATGTACATAAATGATTATTTATTTATTTTAATTTTAATGAAAAAATTATAAACTCGGCCACCAACTACCGCAGTAGCATTAATTGTTAGATGTTGCCTGGTCCGTTTATTGCGGTGCTAAAAATAATTATAAACTCGGCCACCAATCACTCCCTCGTTAGTCGTTTCAACGAAGATGCTGCGGATATCCATTAGGTGTTTTGTAATTTGAATGTTGTTACTTGTGCTGAAAATACTTTTTTATTTTTTAGTCTTCGAAGTTCTATAAAAATTACTTTAAATAACATATAAAACATTCTTTAATATATTTTTACAGTTTAAAATTTAATTAATAACTTATGAATTATTATCTCATTTTATTTCAATATATGACATGATATTTAAAACAAATAAAATTCCATCGGTGTATTATGTATTATTGAATATCTAATGTGTTTAAACTCTTGTATGTATAATAATTGCGATAAATTAATAATATTTCACAAATCATGGTTGGATTAACTTTTAATAAATATTTATTAAAATTAATATTTTGTTAACTGTGATACGTAGTACCGTTTAATATTGTCTTGTTTAAAATACGAGTGGAACGATAAAATATATATTTTTATAGTTTTATTTAAAAACATGTAAACAGTTAAGTACATTTTTAATATCCCATCTAATATATTTTCTCAGTTTAAAAGAGTATCATCATTCATTACAGTACTTTTTATTAGACAATAAAATATAAAATTCATATTTTAACACGTCTTATGCCCTTTTTCCGTCAAACAGCGAGGTGCAATAGAACTTCAAATTATGTTAAAGAAATAATTTTAAGTATCTATGTACAGTCCATGCCTTATTTTTTTAAAAGATAAAATAAAGGATAAAGTTCGGATATCAAAACAGTGAAATTAAAAAAGAATTTCAATTAGTATCGAATAAATTTAATAGTGTAAATTAACAATGAAAAGAAGCTTTATATTAACATTTGAGAATATTTGATTCATTATTGTTTGTATTAGATAATAATTTTAAGAATTAAAATAAAAACTTACTTTTATTCAATTTATTTATTTTTCATTAAAAGATTTTGAATAAATATTTTTCCTACACTTGAGCACTTTAGTTTATTATCATGTCCTGTGGCATCAGACGTGGAGGGAGTTAAAGAAAAGGAAAAAGAGAACAAGATAAGAAGTAAAGTACCACTAAAGAATTAGTAAATAATAGAAGAAAAGAGAAGAGAAAGAAGGAAGCACCAGCACACATATATAATAAAAGGTGGTTGTCGGTGATTTCGAGCGTTTGAGTTTGATAATTGATGATAGTGGAAAGGGAAGGTAGAGAGGTGTGTAAAGTTTCGTTTTGTGTGTGTAACAAAATAGAATCGATAGATATGAACGGTGGAATTGGTATAGGGATGGACATATGGAGGCATCACACGCATGAACCCAGCCACAACCAGTGCACTTCAGCACTCGTAAAGCACATAAAAGCCCCTGTACCTCTCGTAAGTACCAACAATTAACCTTAAACTTTGTGTTTTCCCATAATTGAATTCATGAAATTATTGTGTCAGGTGTGGTCCCTGGTGAGAAGATTCGACGAGCCCCAAAAATACAAGCCCTTCGTTAGCAGGTGCATCGTCCAAGGTGACCTTGCTGTTGCCATTGGCAGCGTCAGAGAGGTCAACGTTAAATCTGGTCTTCCCGCCACCACCAGCACTGAGAGGTTGGAACAACTCGACGATGACCAACACATTCTTGCCATCAAGATCCTCGGCGGTGATCACAGGCTTAAGGTTTGTGATTCCCTTATTCCCTTTTCCAATTAAGAACAACGACACTCACGTTTTGTTCTGTGAATTTTCGCAGAACTATTCCTCCATAATAACAGCGCATCCAGAGGTTATTGACGGAAGGCCTGGAACCATGGTGATTGAATCGTTTGTGGTGGATGTGCCTGATGGCAACACCAAGGACGAAACTTGTTACTTTGTTCATGCTTTGATCGGCTGCAACCTAAGCTCTTTGGCTAGTGTTTCTGAGAGGATGGCCGTGCAATTCGCAGGCTCCAACTGATCCATGATAAGGTCTATGGGAATGAGTATTCTTGCATAACCGTTCCTCTTTAGAACACCTTAGGTGGTTCTCTTCTTCAGTTTTGTCACTATGAGATTATACTTGGAGTGGGAAATTGAGTTGTTTTTCTTCTTGGGTTTTGTGTTCTACACTTTTTTTTTTTTTGTACATATTCTTGTAAAAAGAAAAGAATTTTCTCATTCACTCGCCGTTTCTTCTCTCAACAGCTATGAATTTACGTTTTACTTTATTTTGGGCTTATTGTTAAGAACACTTAGGACTATTTCTTATTGAGGCTGCTTTCAAACTCAATACTATAACTTTTTCTCGTGAGGGAGAAGATAAGGACAACCCGTAGGATGTTTTGAGCGAAGAGGGGTAGTTGATGATGTCACTCTTTGGTATAACTTGCACGGCATTTTTTCTTTTCTGATAGATGGCTTTTGTAACGATAATGTTTGTTGAACACCTCATGTTTTGGGATTTTTTTTATGATGAGTATAAAAAAATAAAAATAAGCGAAGAAAAAATATCTAGTGTTATTTATTGTGTTAATTTTTAGTGATTTAAATAATAAAACTTTTTGGACTGCTTGATAGGCCCACAGAGCCACAATAAGATGTCTATGCTGCTGCTCAATAATATCTCTGCTCAAACTTTTTACACCTGAGACTCGCAGAAAAGAACATAGCAAATTGCCATAGCAGTATTTTCATGAATCGAACTTGAAACTTTAGGACAAGTTTTATTCCCCTTGTAACGCAGTCGTTGTTAAAAAAAAGTTATGATTCTCTTCTCTCTGTGGATCACGGTTACACTTATTGATACATATGGCCCTATTTGAGCAAGGAACAAAAAGAACGGCACAACGGATTCTTACTTTTAGGTTGATTCTACAATGACTATTACTACCTTCAGAACCCCCTAGCAAGTAATTTGATCAGATCATAAGAAATGGAAAAGAAAATGCTGTAGGTTTAGACATGTTTCTTATTCCCGATGACCGTGACTGGAACAATTCCCATTCATAAAATGATGATGGCAAGCTCCATCTCTGAATAAAATCTCGCGACTTTGAGCTAAAGAAATGTACTTTGCTGCTGGATGATAGTCATGATGACAAATTCCAGTTTCTTAACTACCCTGTCACCCTGATAGATGCTCCACTTTTTTGTTTTCATCAGTCCTTGTTTTGTGCTAACTTTTCATTATAAATGAGCACAGTCTTCTCCTCACTGTCATCTATGTTCTGATGGATACAACTGATATCAGGTACATAGCTCCTCTTTCGGTTGAGAAAAGTGTGGAATCAATTTTTTCTCATCTTTGTGGATGTAAAATGGGCACTTGAAGAAGTATATGCAGACAAATATGATATGTGAACAAGAAAAAATATGTTGGAGCCTGCAATTTTTTTTGGCTAGTATCTACTTCACTGCATTCCAGTGTTCTTTGCTAGGATTGGATAAAAACTGACTCACAACACCAACTGCATGCGCAATATCTGGTCTTTTACAAATTATGACATACATTAGGCTTCCTACCGCAGAAAAATAGGGCACTCTACTCATTTCTGTCTTTTTTTCATCACTGGTTGGGCATTGTGTATTGCTCAGCTTGAAATGTCCAGCAAGTGAAACGCTAACAGATTTTGCATTATTCATGTTGAATCACTTGAGAATTTTCTCATTGTACTTCTCTTGTGATAGCCATATCAACTTATTGGAATGATCTCTGATCACCTTCATCCCAAGAATTTGTTTTGCAGGACCTAAGTCTTTCATAGCAAAAGACTTGCTTAAAGCATTCTTTAAACCAGCAATCTTGGTCTTATCATGCCCTATGATCAACATGTCATTAACATATAAAAGCAATATAAGAAAAGTTCCAACTTCATACCTTTTGATGAACACACAATGATCATCAGTTGTCTTCTTGAAATTGTGTTCGGTCATGAAGGATTCAAACTTTTTGTACCACTGTCTGGGTGCTTGTTTCAGACTGTATAGACTCTTCTTTAGATGACACACTAAGTGTTCCTTGTCTCGTTCTTCATAGCCTTCAGGTTGCTCCATATAGATTTCTTCTTTGATGTCTCCATACAAAAATGTAGTCTTGACATCAAGTTGTTCAACTTCTAAGTCTAGACAAGCTGCCAAACCCAAAGCTACTCTTATGGAGGAATACTTCATCACTGGTGATAATATCTCATCAAAGTCAACTCCTTTCCTTTGATTGCACCCTTTCACAATAATTCAAGCTTTGTGCCTTGGTTTTGAGCTTCCGTCTTCAGTTTTGAGTCTATACACCCATTTGTTCTTGAAGACATTTTTACCTTTGGGCAGATCAATCAACTCATAAGTTTGGTTATTGTGTAAAAAGTTCATCTTCTCTTCTATGGCTTTAATTCACTCTCATTTCTAATCAGTTTAATTTTATTTATGAGTACACTTACGAGATATTCACTAGAAGTAAAATACTAAAATATGATAAGTTTAATGCTTTTTATTTCTAATTTAATTTTTCTTTCTTATATTTTTATAATTTTAATAAATTTTAGCCAACAAATTAGCCAATAAATAAAATATATTTAAAAACTATATTAAAAAATATGTTATCAACTATTCTCGTCGACGTAATGTTATACTTGTAGGTGTACAATTTAAAACAAATTTTTAAAAGTAATTATTTTGACAGACTTAAAATTTGAAAAAAAAAAGTTAAATATAAAACCTTGCTAAATAATAATAAATTAAGTTACACTTCTTTAAAAATGAAAAATACAGAAAAATCTTTAATAAATTTAAAAAATAAATAATAATTTATTATGTAAGGGTAAATTTGAAAGATTAGAATATTATCACACTAATATATCTAGCAAAGTGAGTTGTCAAATATTTATTAAATTCTAACATAATAAGTGTTTAAAAGCTGTTTAATATAACGAATAGCCAATTAATGAAATAGTTACAATTAACTTCAAGTACTATTCTTATGGGGAAAAGGGTACCAGATTACTAGATATGCCATTTAACTAAAGATGCCAGAAAAATGTAAATTTGAAAAACGCATGCATCTACCCTAAAGTCTTAGGCCATATTCCGGCTAGCTAATGCAAACTCGAGTCTATTCGAACTTGCCATATTTTGGCTTACACCATCTTTCAAGATTATGCATAAGCAGTCTTGTGTTTAGTTTAAATTACTGACTGATCGGTGGCTAATTAGGAATCACTTATAACCTCATGCAGTTCAATTAAACTATTATCTAACTCAATAAAAGGGCATTATTGCTATAATTTTTTATGAACATTTAAGACAATTTTATAGTAAAGATTCGAACGATAATTGAGGGCCTTAAGGTTGCATTCAAATATCTATTTTATTTAAAGACTTGATAAATAATTAACCATGCAAGCGCTTGAAAAATTATTATTGCATTGAAATTCACCTTATGGCTAAAGAAAACAAATTATTGAAAAGGGTAGTGTAAAACCATGAAAAGCTAAGGGTGAAGACTTCCCTTACCTCAATATTATAAAAGATGCATGCATCTTCAGATTGGACTTCTTCATGACATTGTGTAATATTCGTCAAACTACATCAGATAAGCAACATGAAGCTTGTTCGTTCCCCTTTAAAGGCCTCCTGCTAGGGGTGCAAGAAGGTGGAAGCCTTTGAAGGGGAGTGAACAACCAACGTGTTGAAGATCAATCCTAGCAAGGTGAGTGCCAAAGGATGCATTTACTATGAAAAGGTCAAGATCTTTGTATACATGTAAATTTCTGTGTGTTTTTAGTACACATGTATGTGGCGTGAAAATTAACACACGGCATTGAATGGAGTGGGAAGTGGGGTCTCCACCGTTTATCTTAGACACTTGATCTGAGTGGCCTAGTCAGATACTTTGATGCTCGTAATGTTCTAGTGTCTAGTACAAAATATTGCATTAATTGACGTTTGGACTTCGAATCATGGTAGATCAATGCATATGTATCTATGGTCTGCCCTAATGTAGTCACCAGAGAACTAAATAATAGTCGCGTCGTTACCAATTGACCTTGAAGTCCAAAGTATATATGAAGTAGATCCGATACAATGTGCCAATTCAAACAAGGTGCCGGGCGAGTATACCAATTTCAACTCAGTAGTACTTTACACCCTGAAAATGAAACATAAGATAGGCTATTTACTGAACTACTAAGAATCGAATTTTAGCACTTGAAATTTCTCGTCACTCTCCATCTTTAAAAAAAAAAGAAAAAACCTTTGTTTAATTAACTATGTACATAGGCTATAATACGACCCTGTGCAAAGAATAATCTAAAATGAAGGGTTACATTTGAGCCTCCATACGTGGCGTAAGAAGAGGTACGTCAACTGCTGGTTTCATTTTTCTCTGACAATTTATTGGAAGTTGAAGAACGGAAGGATTAGTAATTTGGGGCTCTTTTACTTAATCATTGATTTTTTAAAAATAAATTACTAATAATAATTTTTAAAATTAATTTCTAGTCTGAAGTAAATCTGGCTAAGGCATAAGTTTTGCCATCGGCGAAACTTCCAATTCTTTTTTTAAATAAATTTTGCCTCTAAAATATAAAATTTATAAAATTTTAACACATCATAATATTATAAGTTTCATAATTATAATAGCAATATTTGTTTATTTTAAAAATAAAATTAAGTTTCACCACAAAAACAATAAAACTCTTCATCTTTGAAAAAATAAATAAATCATGTACTCTTCTACTCAAGTTTTTTATAAACTCTAATAATCAGTTCCATCTTAATATTTAAATTCAGGAGCTTATAAAGAAGTTGAGTAGAAAAACATGTAAATTTATAAAAATGATGAGTTTCGTCATTTTTGTAATAAAATTTATTTATTTTTAAACAAATATCACCATTACAGTTAAAAATTTTATAATGTCATAACATATGTTAAAATTTAATAACTTTCACATTTTAAATGGTAAAATTTATTTTTAAAAACAAAAAAAAATTAAAATTTCGTCCTTAATAACGAAACTTATGTCATGTAACCAGATTTATTTTTAGTTAATTTTTAAAAAAGTTATAATTTAGTAATTTTTTTTAAAAAATCAATAATTAAGTAAAAAAACCTTAATTTGGGCCCTACATAAATAAATACATTTAAATTACAAAAAAGTTGTCTAGAACTGTTAACTCAAAATTTTACTCGTGCTATTCTGTCACCTTTTCATTCATAAAAGACTTCATTGTTTGAATCCTTGTATTCATTTTTAAAACAATTTTAATTTGAATCTGATCATTATTAAACACTTATAGTCTTTGAAGACTTCACTTCCATACATATCCCCACATCGCAAATACTCGTCTCCTCGACAAAGCTTGAAAATCATTATCAAGGTCAGTCAATAATAAGACATCACGTAAATTTACTTTGGAAGTCCCTCCTCTGAAGAACACAAAAGCTAAAAAGCAAAATGCTGGAGGATGGGGTAGAAGAAAGAAGAGCACTTGCGTATAATATAGAAGAAAAAAGAAACTGCATATACATTCTTTGAAGCTCACAGTGGAAAAAACAACACACGGTAAAATTCCGGTGACGATTTTATTGTAGTTGCGCACATGTTAACTTCGTAAGACCTTGTATCATGACACATTTTTATCTTTTAACTTTTTTATTTCATTTAATTCTTTAAATTATTTTTTTATATTTTTCTTCACTTTTTATTTTTAATTAATTTAGAGAATATTTTATACTTGACGTAATCATGAGTATGATTAATAAAGAAAATTATAGATATATGAGTTTTCATCAATGATGATAAGTTAACAACGATGGTTAACTATTTATAAAAAAAAAAAAAGTTTAAACAAGCAATTAATGAAAAATAATTTGCGAGCAGTTAAAGAAATTTTTAGTATTAATTTAAAAGATTTAATGATAATTTATGAGTAAAATGCATAAAAATGTATAACAAAAAATCTTATCCAAAATTTTGTTAATTTAAATTTTTTAGTTAAGTTAAAAGACAAAACAAAGTTTAAAAAATAATTTAAAAGATTAATTAAAATTGAAAAAAATTAAATTAAACTTAAAAATTAAAATTGTATTAAAAAATAGAAAACAAATACAAAATTAACTTAAACGCAAAAAAACAAAAAATATAATTTAAGCTAGATTTATATTTTTTTCATGAATACAAGAAAAATTTGTTAAGAATTATTTAATATGCTTAATATTTAACATTTAATTCTCAAAATAAATACTATTTTTTAATGGTTATAATCTCTAGTTAGTATTATTTATTTATTTATAAATTTTACAGTATTTAAAATGAAAAAATATTTTATATTTTTTAAAATAATTATAATGGTTAATTTTACATTAATAAATAATTAAACTAGTAATTTATTTAAAAAATTATAAATATATTTTAATTTTTAAGATATTAAAAGAATTCTAATTTAAAATTTGGAAGAAGTATATAATTCCTGACGGGTAAATTTAGGAGGACAGCTCAGCAAGCATCCTGTTTATTTGTTGAAAAATTTATTGCGTAGTGACTATTTTCCTATAAACAGTACGATGTCGTTTCTGCAGTTGGAAAACCTAGTGAATACTGAATAGTGATAGTTGGGCGACATGGCGAAGAAGCGAAATCAGCGATCAGGTACCAGTGACGGTAGTCGCCAGAACCGAGTCCGATCATCTTCGGCTTCGGAACGAGACCAGCGGGCTGACTCGGTTTCCGGTCACACCAAATTCATTGGCTTCTTCATCTTGTCTTCTATCATTGCCGTCGTCACTTACAGGTGGAGACAATCTTCTCATTCGCAATATCCAGATTCTTATGTGTATCAACAAGGCCTTGTCACAACCGAAGTTAATTACCAACATGTACTCATTGTAAGTACCGTAATTATAACATACATACAATATTTTCAAGTTTACAGTATCATAGAGAGTTATAGTTTTGATTTTAGTATCTAATGTTGTAAATTTACATTGGATTAGGAGAATTCGAAAGTATCAGAAAATATCTCTCAGCGTCATTATACTTATCCTGTGCTTGCCTACGTTACTCCCTGGTATGTTTTCCTTTTCCCCTTGTATATTTATTTAGCAACTTCTGAGATGAATCATGAATGTGTTACTTGGCATGCAATACTTTCTGCTAAATAAGGAATAAAGAAGCAGTTTGGTTTGATGTAAAGTGAATTTTTGTTTTTTCGATTATGATATAATGACTTGAAAGAAGTATTTGAACTTTTGATTTCAATTGTCAAGTGCTGATAGTTAAATTTGCCATATCCGATCTTGTTTTAGGATGGTATAATAATAGGAATGAAAGAACGCTACTTCTTGGACGCTACTAGTGGCAGCTGCAATGTAGTTGTACATAAATTTGAAATTTGTTTTAACGCTCAATTGCCTAATAAGTTTCTCCTAATTTTAAACCTGAGCATAAACTGATTCAAATATCTTAATTTGTTTTAAAAAATTTCTTTGAAAGTATGGAGTGAGAGAGATGAACAAAGGGAGTTGAGACTTGAGAGAGAATGTGTTTGATTGTGGTGGTATTTTTTTTAATTTAATTTAAGTGAGAGATCCTTAGAAGTATTAGCTCTATACAGTAGCATATTTAATTATGGATGAAAGAGATATGTGTTCCCATAATACAGTTCATTAATCTGCATGATTCTTAAAATTGAAATTCTTTTTATTTTAGCTGGCTGAAACCAAAAAAGTATGTTAAGTAATTGGTTTGGTTCACTCCACAATTAACTCTGAAAATATTGTTGATATAGGAGTATTTGCTTTTTGCTTTAGCATATAGATGATAGAGACATGTATTCATATGATGCAGTTCACTAGTGTGTATGATTCTTAAATTTGCAACTTATTCTTTAATTTTAGCTGGTAGAAACAAAGAAGTATTGTAAGTAATTGCTTCACTCAACCCTTGAAGTTATGGGTTTGATTGTTAAACTATCATGATTCTTCTTCTTCTTCTTCTTCTTCTTTTGGTGGTAAAACCCCTTCATGTCATCGACTGTCTGATCTGCTTCCTAATGCCTAACATCTTCATAGTTGTATTGCTTTATTTTTTTAGTGAAAATTCAATTTTCTAATCAACTGGGGTGAGATTCTTTTCCTTTATGTGCCATTGTTCCTGTGTTTACTATCTATGTGCATCTTAAAATAAAATGTTAATTATGACAGGAATTCTCAAGGTTATGAGTTGGCAAAAAGGTTCAACTCGAAGTTTACGCATTTATCACCCGTCTGGTATGATTTAAAGAGGTATGTACCTCATTCCCAAATAACTTGTTGAAGAAATAGAGGGGTGGAGGCAGAGTTAAGACCTGTCCCATTTCAAGCTCACTTTGTGTCAGTTCATCAGAGCTTTAGAGTTTATTTTGCAAGCGTTAGAAAATTCAGTAGCTTTACATTTTGGTTTCTGAAGTTTTACTTGTTACTTAAGCCTTCTGACCTGGGATGCCTCCCTAAACTCCCTTTTCGAAATAAAATATTCAGGGTTAATTTAAACTGACATTACAGCCTTAAGGGTCATCAGAATATTTTATATCCTCATTTTTTGTAATTTATGCACTACATTGAACTTCTAGTGAACTGTTGAATACTTGATTATAAATCCTAGGCGTTGCTGTTTAGTGAGTTTTTGTTATATTGCTTTACGATTTTGCTTCATCAGTTGTTATTGCCAGCCAACAGACTAGCTTAGTTCTAGAGGGGAGACACAATGCTGACAGAGGATGGATCTCAGAGCTTAAAAAGACAGGAGAAGCTTTGGTACAATGAATAAGTTATCTACTTTAAACTTTTTTCATATCATCACTGACAGATTAAATGCCTCTTGTATCCAAAAGTTGTTTAAAAGCTATTTACTTGATGATATTCTTAATTTTGGATTTGTAAAAGTAGAAAGTAAAGTTAAATTGGGGAATTGTGTATGGGCCAATGTGTGTGATGCTCAGACAAAAGGATTGCTTTGAGTCTGGATTATTATGCTCAATCACTCCCCAATTTAAATTACTAGACCTCTACTATTCCTGTAAAGATTAGTCCAGATGGAATGTGACTCATGTCACCAACAGCTAACAATGGAACAGTAGTTATATGTGTATTTCCCTTTAGCTTTGTTCCTTTGCTTCTTTCTCAGCACTTTATTATCACTTCATTCACTTGGCCAATAGCTTATTTATATTTGAAATTTCTGAGAATTCTATCCTTTGATCCTTTATTGCCAGTACATATTATGGAACATGTTGAATGCTTTGTAAGTTTAAGATGAAACCTATGATGTTAAACTTTGCAGTGGCCACCCACCTGACATGGGTATCGGCAGTAGTATGTAAGGCAATTTCATAATGTGAAATCCACTTTATTAACATGAAAAACGGAAATAGAATAGGTAATGCATCTCTGGGATACACACATATTTAACATCCTTTAATGTTAAATATTCCTAGTGACTAGTGAGCAGTGGGGCAGGGTTGCAGTGGAGTTTATGACACATTTTGTTTTTAAGGTTGTTGCTTATTTTAACCCTCAACCCAAGTAGAAACTTGCAAAGCCCAAGTAGAAACTTGCAAAGTGATCTGCGCCTTGGACTGGCTATAAATGTTATGTTCCCAATGACTAACCTTATTTTATGATATCCTTAACTTGTGAGACCTAACACTTGTTTAATTGTCTTAGGATTATTGTTAAGCTTTTCTTTTTACTGCCCTTGTTAAAGCAATTTCTTTTCATTGCATGTAGATTTTGCCTAGAGTTGTTCTGCAAGCATCACCAGCTGTGCTGTTGAGAAAGGAAAAACAAAGGAAGAAAGCCATTAACCTTATAGTAACTGAGTGCAAGTAAGCCTCTAATTATTTTTCTAGATACACTTTTTAGGCTATAGTATTATGGGAACAGAATTATTTCCTTTATGCTAGAAATCATGGATTTTGCCCGCGTAAGCTTCTCAGTCTCATGGTCTCTAAGTAATCTATTCAATTTTGTTTATTGTCATATGCTGCAAGGATGAATGTTTGGATTCGCTCTTGTTGCCATCAGCAAATGACATACTACAATGAGCACATCATCATCAAATTTTGAAAGGGTGGAAATTATTTATGTGAAAATTACTGCAAAGCAATTCTTGGGAAAGATATTCTAGTTTAGGAACATAACTAATCACTCAATGGGTTAATGATGTTGAACAAGTAGTTGTTAAGTAGCCATAAATTGACTTGATTAACCATTTGAGTGATTTGTTGTTCTTATGCCAGAAATATTTTTGCCGATAATTCCATATTTTTTTTGGTAATTTTTCCATATTTTTTCTGTACATGGTTTATGGTGTATTAACGCTTCTTTACCCAGCGGCCTTATAGTAGAGTGGCTCTTCCCTATAGCAAACCCGTTACCCATTTACTGCATGGGTATCAGAAGTTGTTCATGGCAGCAAGCTTTTAGAGCCATATATGAGACACTTCCTTTCTGAATACGATGTCTGTGTTGTGCTATAATTTGCTTATCATGTGAATGTTCTTCTGTAGGGAAATGGGATATGATGGTATTGTTTTAGAATCTTGGTCAAGGTGGGCAGCTCATGGTATCTTGCATGATCCAAACATGCGGAACTTGGTGAGCATTTGTTCCATTTAATCTTTTCAGATGGTTTTTATTCAGCAAAGCTATAATAGGGAACTCTGCCTTTTATTCATGGACTAGACTATTAAGATTTCTTCCAATCTTTCAATTTTTGAGATTGTAGGTCTGGCATTATTGAATGGTTATGTCATAATTGCAAATGCTACAGTAGTGACTGAGCTGGTTCCCGTCCCATATGGAATAGGGACCACATAATTATGTTCCCTGCAATTTGAAGTATACCATTATGATTTTTTCACCTGTAATACAGTTTTGTTATTGATAACTCTATTAGCATATGTATACATTGCCACGGGAAAAAAACAAAATATTGTATTTATTCCTCACATTTCCTGCGAGACCAGTTTATCCATTTGGTATTGGGCTCTCTAGTCCTTTATTCCTCACAAAATAGATATGGTGCTTTCTTCTTTTGCAAGCACAGGCATTGCAGTTTGTAACACAGCTTGGAGATGCACTTCATTCTACAAGCTCAGAGAAAAATAATGGACAGCAGCTGCAGTTGGTCTATGTTATAGGTCCACCATCTTCTGAGAAGCTGCAAGAGCACGACTTTGGTCCGAAAGATCTTGAGACTTTAAGTGAAGCTGTGGATGGATTCTCGTTAATGACATACGACTTCTCTAATCCCCATAACCCTGGTCCAAATGCACCTTTGAAATGGATTCAAATTGTTCTACAGCTGCTTCTTGGTACTAGCAATAGAGCCCAACGCCTTGGCCCAAAGATACTTCTTGGCATCAACTTCTATGGAAACGATTTCTCCCTTTCAAGGGGTAATTCCTTTACATTCTCCCTTCTCTTCCTTTGAACTGAACTTACTGTCAATTTCACTATGGTGCTTGTAGGCACACACACACAAGTAGAACAGCTAAAGTGGTGCTTAAGGGAACCCCACTAGCCCAAGGGGAGCGGAAGGGAGAAGGGGGAATGGGAATGGAGAGTTCCATTAGGGCAGCGTTTATACTTGATCTCTATTGCTTGAGTGTAACACGAGCACCTTTTTTAGCTACTTCGATATTTTGAGACTGTCTTAAAGAACTAGTGCTTTTCTTTTTAGGCTTTTTTGCTTAATTAGTAAAATTTGAGAGTGCAGATGCAGGTGGCGGAGCTATTATTGGGAGAGATTACCTAGCGCTTTTGGAGACGCACAGGCCTGTTCTACAGTGGGACAAGAATAGTGGAGAGCATTTTTTCTTTTACGCTGACGACAAGGATGTCAGGCATGCGGTATTCTATCCATCTTTAAAGTCAATTTTTTTGAGGTTAGAGGAAGCCCGAACATGGGGATGTGGCATCTCCATCTGGGAAATCGGCCAAGGTTTGGATTACTTTTTAGACCTTTTGTGAAAGACCACGGTGTACCCTGTTTTTATGCCATGTTAATGTTTATGTGTAAGTATTCGGTATAATCGAAATCTACTTTGGTTAAAATTGGATTCTATTTTTTCAAGTCTAGTTTGAGTAATGCGCAAGTTAGTTTGTCAGGTTACAACGTAACAAAGATACGGTGTAACAGCACAAGGGCTTGGTGCTAGGTATTTTTTTTGGTCAATGGCTTGGTGCTAGTTTGGGTCATAATTTCTGTACGAATTTTTCTGTCAACAATTTTCGGTCATAAATTCGAGAATCTAATATTTAATACATATGATTTTCATGTAGCAATGAGTAGTCTAGTATGACATATTCTATATTAAAGAAATGACACTTTTTAATACTCGGATGTCTATATATATTTCGAGCTGGGGAGCTAAATTTTATTTTATTCTTGCAATCTTTTGTGAGAAAAATAAATAGGGAAGATAGATAAACATAACAAAATAAGGGATCGATGCATGGAGTAAAAATGAGCTGATATAGAAAGGGTTTTGTTGGGAGGTGTATTATTTTAGAGATCTTTTCCCATTTGTAAAGGAATAAGCTTTAGCTCTTGGTTAAGTGAAATCTTCGGTGGGAAAAAAAACAAAGCATATGAAGTGATATGGAATGCATGAATAAGAATAATATAATCCATTTGAAAAATTTTAAAAAGGAACACAGATAAGTATAATATGAATTAGTTAATATTAAAGTAATAATTTTGAACTTTTTGTCAAGTAACATAAAGAAACTGTATTTCTTTTTCATTTATAAAAAAAGTGTATCTCTGTTTTGTTCTGTAATTATAGTTTCGGAAATGTTGGCTGGGACTTGGGAATGCGGGGCCCAGGTCTGGGGCCATATGTCGAGAAAAGATGACCGCCCGGGACGTTAACCTTTATAATGATCACACGTGCACTCGTTCCCTACGTTCGCATTTCCGCGTATGGGAGGTTTGATTTTGTGGACGGGTTCAGCTTCTATGAATTTGAAGTACAGTCGGCGATATCAAAATTATCAATATCATTCGTCTTGAATCTTTCTAGATCTATCACTGATTGCTACACATTTTTTTTTCTCTCGATTCTCAAAATCGTTTTTCTTTAAAACACTATTGACTTCATGTGACCAATATTAAATGTTTTGAGGCAATTTCTACTCTAATTATTTTTCTAGATACACTTTTTAGGCTATGGTATTATGGGAACAGAATTATTTCCTTTGTGCTAGAAATCATGGATTTTGCCCATGTAAGCTTCTCAGTCTCATGGTCTCTAAGTAATCTATTCAATTTTGTTTATTGTCATATGCTGCAAGGATGAATGTTTGGATTTGCCTCTTGGTGCCATCAGCAAATGACATACTACAATGAGCACATCATTATCAAATTTTGAAAGGGCGGAAATTATTTATGTGAAAATTACTGCAAAGCAATTCTTGGGAAAGATATTCTAGTTTAGGAACATATCAACTAATCACTCAATGGGTTAATGATGTTGAACAAGTAGTTATTAAGTAACCATAAATTGACTTGATTAACCATTTGAGTGATTTGTTGTTCTTATACCAGAAATATTTTGCCGATAATTCCATATTTTTTTTTGTAATTTTCCCATTATTCATTTCACCTGTACACGGTTTATGGTGTATTAACGCTTCTTTAGCCACCCAAGGGCCTTATAGTAGAGTGGCTCTTCCCTATAGCAAACCCGTTACCCATTTACTGCACGGGTATCAGAAGTTGTTCATGGCAGCAAGCTTTTAGATCCATATATGAGACACTTCCTTTCTGAATACGTTGTCTTTGTTGTGCTATAGTTTGCTTTTCATTTGAATGTTCTTCTGTAGGGAGATGGGATATGATGGTATTGTTTTAGAATCTTGGTCAAGGTGGGCAGCTCATGGTATCTTGCATGATCCAAACGTGCGGAATTTGGTGAGCATTTTTTCCATTTAATCTTTTCAGATTTATTTTTTTTTCAGAAAAGCTATAATAGGGAACTCTGCCTTTTATTCATGGACTAAGCTATTAAGATTTCTTTCAATCTGTCAATTTTTGAGAGGTAGGTCTGGCATTATTGAATGGTTATGTCATAATTGCCGATGCTTCAGTAGTGATTGAGGTGGTTCCCGTCCCATTATGGAATATGGACCACATAATTATGTTCTCTGCAATTTGAAGTATACCATTATGATTTTTTCACCTTCACCTGTAATATAGTTGCGGAAATATATTGTTTTATTTCTTTCACAGAACCAATAATACAAGAGTGGTATCAAATAAGGTACAAGAGGAATAAATCTGAGCGCTAATCTGACCCTAAAATTCAGAAAAATAATTATTCCTATAAATATTGTACCTAAATAAGAAAAATACAAGAAATAAATTGATTCTATTTATATTAAATCCTAACAGATTATACAAATCAGAATCGGGTGATTGTAATTGATATGTGCATGATATTGCGCTAATCTTCAACAATAATTTTGTTATTGATACTCTATTAGCGTGTATACATTGCCACGGGGAATAAAAATACAAAATTGTATATTTATTCCTCATATTTCCTGCGAGACCAATGTATCCATTTGGTATTGGGCTCTCCAGTTCTTTATTCCTCACAAAATAAGTATTTGAAATTCAAGGCTTACAAAACTACCAACAAAAGCTACCAAAGTTCAAGCCTAAATCAATTGTCAGAACCGAAGAGAAACTGTATATCGCTGAATATAATTAAAAGCACTCACTCATCAACAAGTTAAGAGCAATGTTAAACCATACGAAAAATTTAGATACGAATTTGACTAAATCAATTATGTTAATTTGAGTCTTTCAAATGATAAATCAGAAAGTAAATAATATTTGAGGGAAATGAGGTCATTTGAATGCATACTGATTGACACATTCGCCTTTCAATGTCAGTGAGCATTATTGAAAACTTGTCCATCAACTTTATTATTTATGAAGGTCAGGGCCTCATGCTCTGTGATCCTTTCCTTCCATCATGGTCAAAAGAAATACTACAAGAAGTTCAAGAGTTATTGAGTGCAAAGTTTGCTCTTTAAGAGCTTGTTGATGAAATAAAAATACGGCAATGTGATCATTCTGGAACATACAGGGAATCAACAATGTAGTTTGGCTATTTCACAAAGAGGTGCCTAAAGTGGGACTGCTTTTGAAGACGCTACTCCTGCTGTTTCTCCTGTAATAAATTTGGTGCTATGAAAACACTAACTATAGCTTACATTATTAACAATGCGATTAGCTTACATTATTATCATATATTCCCTTCTTCCCCATATCATAAATAAAAGCATAGAGGTTTTTTAAGAATAATGACCATGAAAATGCACGCTGGTAGTTCGGCGATCTATTTTGTTTCACTCCACAAAGCCACATTTTATTTTAGAGCTACAAATTTGCATGGTCGTATTAGTATTTCATCTCATGAACACAGGCCTGATAATGGCGAAATGTGCACGATATCATATTAGAACTATATTGGAGTATAACACAGATTAACCAAGAGACTTGTAAATATGCAATTACTGATAAAAGTTTTTAAGCACTTGGAACGCTTTCAAAAATCACTGGCATACTGCATGATAAATTATTTCATCTACAAACCAACAGAACAAAAAGACTGCAGACAATAAAGGGAACAAAAATCGCCTTCGGTTCATTAATAGCTTTGAATTGGTTACCTTCATGAGTTTCAAAACTTCCTTGGAGGCTAGTTTACGAGCTGTATACTCATTATCACCACTAGCAGTCCACTCATAGGTGTTCTCATCAGTTTTCACCTTGATCGTAAATAAAGTTACATGGTTGACATGAGGCTTCGAGTATTCTTCCTTTTCGTAGTGATTTTTTTGGCATAGTTCTTGCAACTCATTAATTGGATGTCGCTTTGCAGTTTCAGGTGTAACCAAGGGTTCCAAAAGAGGCCTTATGCTTTGGAAAACAACCTTCTTCTTGTACCCTGAATCAACAAAAATGGCTCCTGCTATAGATTCTATAACATCTCCAAGGACCTGTCAGAAATAGAAATAGCTCCTAATGTAAAAAAATTGCCTGCTTAGCTTACTTCACTCTGTCAATTGTAACTTGTTTTTGTATCGAACTATAACAATGAAGAGTGAAGACATTCACGATGTGGCATAATGTGAATAAGTCATGCAATGAAATATTAACATCTGACCTCACAGTAATATGTTTCTAGCTCCCATCCAAAAGTGGATTCCAAAGATATGTTCTCAACGCCTTTCATTGTTTTTGCAATTTGATTTTTTACCACTGAGTCGCAGATTATGTGTTCATCCAGCTCAGCTTTAATGGCTGACAGTGTATAGCACTCATTATTCACAGAAATAGACCTCATGTTTGTCAAAAATTCCGATGACAACTTGTCATTAGAATATTCCTTGTGGAAATGCATGGTGATGACATAGTCCAACACTGCGTCGCCAAGAAACTCTAGTCGCTGCAAGGAAACTTAAGAGTTTATCAATCTTAAATTTGATGTTGGCCTAACTCCCAAAAAAGCTAATTATATAGTGTTCCTCAACCTCAAGGTTCTCATACTCTACATTTTAACCATATGGTGAAATTAAAAGAAACAACAAAATTATACACTGACATGGCATGTGCTTCATTAATACCAAGTACATGTTTTTTCATTACTATAAAGTTTCAGAGTACCTCATAGTCGTAGCATGTTGGAATTTCTGGTCGATTGCAAGACCTATGGATCAGAGCTTCTACTAAAAGGTAAGGGTTTTTGAATGAGTAGTTTAATAGGGTTTCTAAAACTTGGACATTTACAAGCTTCTCTGCGGCAGTGCTAAGGGGCCTTTCATATGGTACAATGTTAGTGTCTATATTGACGCCAATCCACTTAATAAACGATAAAGCAGCTTTTTCATCTTCTGTGCAAAAGGCTCCAATTAGTGCCTCAACAACATCAGCAACAATATCGAATTTTATTTCTCTTGTTTCACAAGTATATACTCTTGTTCTATTAGAAACCAACTCTTCTTTTAGCAAGAGACCTTTTGACTTATCGCCAGGGATATCCCACTGCTTTGGCTTAAATTCCTTATTTCGTATGAAGCCCTGTAAATAAGAAAGTTTCCTTCTGAATTTTTTTTAAACCACTGCTAGAATATTGAAACAGGGATAATATCAATGTGATAATACGAGATTTAAGAAAGCTTGTAAATCATGTGATTTTGACAATATGAACAACACAACTACACAAGCACCGATTGGCAGCTAAACTAACCAATGTTATACTCTACACTTCAGGATTTGTAGAGTTTGGCACAAGTGAAACATGTTCAAGGCTAATGAAATGTTTTTTTTTTTTTTACGTTATAATATTTTGTCTTCTCACTTTTTTCCCTCTCAAATCAAATAACATTAAAGGAAACATTTTTTTTTTCTTTTTCCTCACTCTTTTCACCCTTTTTTTTCCCTCCTATGCCAAACAAAGTATACAAGTAATTAACATCAATCTCATAAAATGTAACAACGATAACAAGAGAAAAAAAGAATAATACCGGAAGGTTTTGGCTACACCCATACTTAGACAAGGCAACATTGGAAATTATTTTTTCCCTCTCATTGGTAAGAAGGCCCTCTCTATGATTTTGGTTGGTCTTGAAAAGCTGCTGACTAGCAGCATACTTTAGAAAAGAATCTCCAAGTGTCTCTAAGTAATCGTAATCGGAAGCCTCTTGACATCCTTTTGCAGTAATTGCTTGTAAGATCTACAAAATAAAAAAAAAAGTTGAAACAACAAAATTCTTAAGGTTTTGGTTTTGTTAATTCTAGCTTTTGGAGTTAACTTTAAGCATACAAAAGTAATAAAATTTTATTAAGAGAATATTATTGTTGGTAATTAATTAAACTAAATCCTTAAAGTTAAAGATAACATTTTACATAAATTTTTAATATAATTTTGTATCAGTTTTCTTAACATCAAGTTGTTTTTAGAAAAAAAAAATTTAGGTTAGTTATGTCTTAGAAACTCACCCTGACTCAAAAATATATATATATATATATAAATACTTATATATTGCCTATCAATAAAGTATTCTCATTAACAATAAAATTTGAACCTGTATCTTTAAGAAATACAGTTTCAAACTTTATCAACTGAATCAATTTAATTGGCTCAAGAGCCACTCTTGGGATTGATTTGAATGTAAAATGATTTTATTAAGAAAAAATATTTATTATACTTAAAAATATAATAAATATCTTTTAATAAAATTTTATAGTTTCAATCACTTAAAATTAACTCCAATTAATACTAATAGCGAGTTCTAAACGAAAAAATAATAATAAAAATGTATGTCAAATATTTATTTTAAAATAATTAAAATTAGATAATAAAGATATTCTTGTGTTAGTATCCTTCCCACACTCGATGGCAATATACAACTATAAAAAAGAAAACAGCTCACTTGATGTAATAGCGTGCATTCGCTTTGCTTAAAACTATCGTTTTAGAAGACAATATATCGTTTCATTTCATCTATTCTTTTATAAAATTAAGAACACATTGATCAATTTCTCAATTAATATCAACTATAATAATATCAATTAATATTATATATATATATATATATACATATATATATATATATATATACATATATATATTAAAAATCAAACTCTCATCAACTTGCTTAAAAGATTTAATTATCCACTAACTATGACAAATTATGTAAAGAAATTAAGGGTTTTCTCAAAAATAGTTACAATAACAAATCATTTTTAAAAAAAGAGAAAAATCATTTTCTCTCAAAGTGGAAAGATTGGCTTCTAAACAAGCATCATAAAAGTAGCTTTTTTTTTTAACTATGCATGGATATACAGAACCCATATGAAAGCAGATACACCTTGCTTCCCTTTGGGCTTTGGGCTTTGGGCTCATGGGGCTGCCAAATTAGGTCTCAAACGATTACTTCCCACTTTAACATTGAAGGACTATCGACCCAACCCGAAATTATCTACTTTACTCGAATCATATAGATCAATATAAACTATCAGCGTTATGTAAATGATAAGCCTTTTTTTTTTTTTCACCGAAAGAAATAGCATACCTTGCTGATTGGGATATCATTTAACGTGCAATGATCCAAAAGCATCTTTTTTAAGTTGAAAGCAACGAGCAAGGACTGAAGCCAATGCATGATTGATGGCATAAATGAAAATGAATATATGGTACTGATTGATATTGGTGACATTATTACATGACAAAGTTCTGGGGGCAATTCAACAGTGTTCTTCTTGCTTTGACCTTGAAGGGAGAAAAAGATCAATCAGGTTTCAATTTCATCATATTGATAATGAACTCGGTTAATACGTCATCTAATAAACATCATTGTTCATGAAATGCAGTTAGGACCAGAATGTTTTTTTCTTATTGTTTAGGTAATAGCAGTCACAAAGCAATATTGGGAATTAGAATGTATGAGCAACCAATTGTTAAATTTAAACCTTTCTCCTTCTTCTGTTGTCTGGCCTTGAGAAGGTAATTCCCCGCTGAAAAAACTTTTCTGCCACCAAGCAGGGATTGATCTGCATGACTCAGTTCAATCCCGTGGCTGAAATTTAAAAAAACAATAATCTAAATTTTTCATGTAGTACATGTATAGGACACAAGTAGAAACATAAGCTACTAAATTTACTAACCGGTTTTTAAAGTCCTCCTTGTAAGTAGTAGTAGATCCCTTATCTCTTAAGTGTAGTGGAATTGAATTTCCATTCAATTTCATAATTTTATTAATAATATAAATGGGAGGATTAGAATCAATATGAGGAGTGTAGACCACACAATTTTTTAGTTTGCAACGGCAAACTGAACCATTTTTCGTCACCACATGAGGAGTATTATCCTCACAGTCACAGGTACTTTCAGGTGAAAAAGGAACAGAACTGACATACTTCCAATCGATTGGATCTGAAGAGCTCAAGTGTTCATTACTGGCTGGGAGCAGAAGATAATCAATCTCAGGATTATCTCCTAAACTAAAATCATCTGAAACATTAGGTAACTTATTCACGCTCCTATGCAGAAGGATCCTAAAGAGGGTAGTCTGAAATCTTCTACATTTTTTAACCTGTGAAATAGTAACATACAGATAAAATAAATAAAATCCTAATTGACACGAACTACCATGAAAGGAACACATGTAAGCACACCTCATCATGAGTAAGCGGAATGGTCATTATATATCCAAGGTTCACTGACAACTTTCCCCTGTCAACATCAAACGACATGCCTGATGATGCATTTAAGATTTCTGAGTCAAGTTTAGTCCTAATTGCTAGCACAATGTCATGAACGTCGATATACTCAAAATCCGGCTTCAACTCAATCAAATAGAGATGGTACGTTACGTTGCGATTATTTGATGCACTATTGACCAATTCGGATGGGATATAACTGGGGTGCCCATTTTCTACACAAGCCAATTAGAGTGCTCATTTCAATCAAAGCCAATTCAGAAACCAGAATTTAATTACCAAGAATCAATTAATAAGAGTACAAGACAATTATGTTACAAAATAGAAAGAAAAATAGTTTGTGAATCTTATGAAGTTACCAAATTCTTCCATGTTGATGGAAATATCAAGAGAAGGGTTTGCGATATTCTTTGATATTGAGATAGCTTGTATACGATCAGTGTTGTAGTTAACTTGCAATTTTTATAGCATGGGAAGTGGGTGTAGGGACCGCATAACATGTGCAAGATTCCACCGAGAAAAGAAAAGGCAGAGTAAAGAACACGTATTGATTCGATGATTAATCTTTTTTGGAACCTTAAGCTACAAGCTACTTGGTTACCAAGCAATTCAATCGTACATGTACACCATTGTTTGGAAGTTCGATGAAATAGAGGTTAAAAATTGAAAAATATATTAAATTTTTATCGTAATATTTCAAGATTTTAAACCCACTAACTCTTACATAATTTTCTTCTTCTATTTTTTCTTTTTTTGCAATACATAAATTTAGGTTGTTCACTTATTTCAGAAGTAGATCACTTAATTTGTTAAAAAGATTTTACAATAAAGAAGCTTTTAAATGAGTCATTAGGCTGGGACTTAGATCGGGTAAACTTTTAATTTATAGAGGAAATTCATTTTATTTTATTACTTTCTTCTTTTATAAAACTTATTAAATATTTATTATTAGAGTTAAGCAAATTTGATCTCCCTCTATTTTCTTCTACTTAAAATTTATACATTATTTTTTTATTCAATATTTTTATAAACTAATCGATCAAATTGTCTTCTACTAAAGAATCATTGCATCGAATTACATCTAAAATAAAAAGTTCAAAATTTATCCTCTTCAAACACTAATTTTTATCTAATAAAATTCTTCAAATTATGTCAACTTTTTATTAATTTTTTTATTCTAAACTTTTAAAATTGTTTTGTTACTCTGATCCATGGTAAAACCTCAAATGTTTAAATTAAAAGTAATAATTGGATGGTATTTGCTTCATAACTTTTCAACTTTAAACGATTTTGTTATCATTTTCAAATAATCTAATAAAATTTATTTTAAATTGATTTAAAATTGGTTTTAAAGTTATAAACTATGTAAAATTTGAATTAAAAACCAACTTATGTCTCAAAACAAAAATGTTAATAAAAAAATAAAATAACCAAATCATTTATTGAAAAGTAAATTGATATGATTTAAAAATCAGTTTACATTATTTTAATTTTCTAAATACAGTTTAGTTTGAGTTAAAGCTTGGTTTGGTTGAATTGATACCTTTACATAATAATCGTGTTGGTCATTTTCATGTTTGCTTGTAAACAGCAAGAAATCAATTTGTTCAAAGCAGAAAATACTGCTGCCATTGAAGTTGGATTTCATGAATAAAATATCATTATTATTTATTTTAAATTGAACGTAAAATTAAACAAACACTTCGAAGGAGCTAATGGCATCGGTTTCGAGGCTGCCATGGTAACTGGTGGTTTGGGCATTGATGCTCACAGAATTATGGAAAATCTTCAATTTGACTAATCGAGATTTGAGAGCAGTGGTGATGATAAATGGTAATTTGGATCCTTTCGAGTATAATTCTCTTAATCTCTCTAGTAAAATTTTGGCCATTAAATTTTTTATTAAATGATTAGCATAAATTAATAATAAATAAATTGATTAATAAAAATTAAAATAGGTAAATTAGTATGCAATTGGTCTATCTTCATTATTGAATATAAAAATTAATAATTAAAATTTTGTTAGAGAAGATCCGCATTACATAAAATGGACATGTTTATCCACCCAGCTTGTTTTACGCACTACATTTTGTTTTAATTTGAAAAAATATCGGCTAAGTGGTGGACCAGACTAAGCTAAGTCAGTCCAACCATTCTTTTTTCAAATAATTAAATTATATTAACTTTTTATCAATTATAAAATATATTTAAGGCAAGTCGAAATACTATGGATAAATAATTATTACTAATTTATATTATTTCAATAATTTTAAAAAAAATTGTTGGCGAAGCTTCTAATTCGGTTTGTTTTTATATATAATTTTTTGTCAAAATTCAAAAAATATGAAATTTTTGATGAAATTACATAAATATAATTTTTTTAAAAATTGCCATGACGACTCTTTAATTAAAAATTGCTAATAACGATTTTTAAATAATTAATTATTTTTTAAATTATCATTAACAACTTTGAATTTTTTAATTTTTTAATATTTTTTAACCAAACCATCATTCGCCACTTTTAAAACTTTATTACTTTTTCAATTTTTTATTTCTGAATTTTTGTATTACACCAAAAATTATTATTAACAATTTTTAAACTTTATATTATTTAATTTCACAAAAAAAAATATTTTTTGAATTTAAATAAAAAATCATAAAAAAGGGAGCTTTTCACTTCTTTACTTTTATCTAATTTTTAAATTTCTTAACAACTAAGCTTGGCTCACTATTAAATGAGTCAAGTTAGTATAATGAAGTCTTTAAAACTATTTAGAATAGAGTTAACTCTTTTTTTTTTTTTTTGGACTATTCCATTTGGCCTCTTTTATTTAAGAGCAATATTTAATATGCTTAAGTATTAATTAATAAAATATTATGTAGATTAAGCTAAAATTTAAAACTATCAATTTTCTTAAATTTTAATCTTTAAAATTAAATTTAAACATATAAAACGAATAAATTTTACAGTAGAAACTCTTTAAATTAATAATGTCAAGACCGGAGAAATTTATTAATTTAGAGAATTATTAATTTATCAATAAATTAATAATTATTAATTTAAAGAGTTTTTAAGTAATTATACTGTACATACCAAACAAAAAGGCAAATTAATCTATGTCTCTTAGAATTACGTTGTAGCGAACCTTGGGACTCAACGTACAGTAAATTAGTAACTACACTACATATGTGTTGGAAATCAATAATGACTTTTGAAGTACAGTAAATGTAAACAAGAGGAACAAATGTGTTCAATGTATTCTTAAGCAAGTTTGACATATATAAATTACATGAATGTGTTAGAGTATTCAAACCATATCTCACAAGATGGCTTCTCATCTAAAAAGTGTTGCAAAATCAACTATGTCAGATCAAATACGTACGGAGTTGTGTGAGTATAAGAGAAATAATCCTGCAAGCACACAAAAAGACTTGTAGAGATGGCTTGAGGAAAAATTTCAATTGAAAGTTAGTCAAAGAACAATATCAAACACACTTAAGCGGTCAGATGACTATCTCTCTGCTAAAATAGAAAAGGGAAGAGCAGAGATCAAAAGACACAAACCAGCAAAATATCCTGACATGGAGAAGGTTGTTTATGAGTGGTTTCTCTAGCATCAAGAACGTGTGAATATCACAGAGAATTAATTTTGCAGAAGGCAAGAGATACAATGAAACTCGTGTACCCTCATGATGATTCAGATTTTAACTTCTCTATAGGATGGCTTGGGAAATTCAAGCACCGACATGGCATAAAGTCATTTCGTCGTTTTGGCGAGAGTGGGTCTGTTGATATACAAGACATGGAGCAGAAATTGGTATCAATTCGGGAGAAAATTGATCAATTCCCTATGAAAGATGTTTTCAATATGGATGAAACTGGGTTGTTTTATAGGCTACAAGCTAATCATTCACTGGCAACAAAACAACTTGAAGGAAGAAAACAAGATAAAGAAAGGCTAACGGTAGTTATTTGTTGCAACGAAGATGGCTCTGAAAAAATCCCTCTATGGATTATTGGGAAATATGCAAAGCCTCGTTGCTTCAAGAATGTCAACATGAATAGCTTGAATTGTCAGTATCGAGCTAACAAAAAAGCATGGATGACTAGTGTGCTTTTTGATGAATATGTTCGTTCATTTGATCAAATGATGCATGGTAGAAGAGTTCTACTTGTGGTGGATAATTGTCCAGCACATCCAAGAAATATTGAAGGGCTAAGAAACGTTGAGTTATTCTTCTTGCCACCCAACATGACATCAAAGATTCAACCTTGCGATGCTGGGATAATAAGAGCTTTCAAGATGCATTACCGTAGAAGGTTTTACCGCAAAATATTGGAAGGTTATGAGGTGGGACAATCTGATCCAGAGAAGATAAATGTCCTTGATGCTATCAATTTGGCAATCCCAGCTTGGACGATAGATGTTCGAAAAGAAACAATAGCGAATTGCTTCCGACACTGTAAAATTCGTTCAGATAGTGACGTTGCAAGAAATTTTGATGAATCCACTTTTGATGAAGAAACTCAAGACCTCGAGACTATGATCAATCAATGTGGCTATCGTAATAAGATGGATATCGACAACCCAGGTGAAAATGAAGCATGTTCGGAGATTCAGAGTTTAGAAGATATTGTGGGTACTATCATTGAGAACAATGCAGAGGATGACGACGAAGATGATACAGTGTCTTTGGAGCCTGTTACGCGAAAGGAAGCACTTATGGCGTCGAATACTCTTCACAACTTTATGATACAATACAAAAATACAACACCTGAGCTATTGGATACAATAAAAAAAGTTAGAGATGAGCTCCAAATAGACTTAAATTTTAAAGGAAAACAGACAACTATTGAATTATATTTCAATAGAGTGTAATATATTTTTTTTTCAGTTTCTATGAATTATTAATTTATGATTTTCTTGGGACCGAAAATTATAAAGGAATCTCCCGAAAAATTATTATCTTATTATTTTATCGAGTTTTTCAATTTTTTATATTGACCCAAGTCGGGACCGGATAAATTTATTATTTTAAAGAGTTTATTAATTTATCGAGTATTAATTTAAAGAGTTTCTACTGTATTAAGAAACATATTTTTAGTTTTATATTTCTAATATAATAAAGTTTTTAATTATTTAATTATTTGTAAATATTCAATATCATTTCTTAAGAAGAAGAAATTATAGTTATAAGAAAAATGATTAAATTAAAAATAAAAAAATCACATAAAATTTATATATTAAAAAATATTTTAGGAGTATTTCCTTGGATGAAAAAGCATGAAGCACGCGAATTTCAGGGGCCTATCCGAACGCGTCTTTAGATTTGATTTGGAATTTATGAGAAGCGGTCCCATTGTCTTGTCCCTCATCTGGTCGCATTGTCTTGTCCCTCACCTCAGCATCATTTTTCACAGAAAAACTCGTTCTTTCACGGAATTTTGCTGCCTTATTAATTATTGTTAAAACACTTCATTTTAATTGCAATGACTCACTCGTCAATTTTCACTCGTCACAAGTCATGCTTTTTTCAATTCAAACATTTCCTGTCCGTAATATGCATAAACTTTCCTACATCTTTTATTTGTAATTTTTCTTATTTTTTAATGTTTTAAATATTAGATTAAATAAAAATATAATTTTTTTTACTTCAAACTATATTTTTTTATTTAAAAATTTTATAAACATAAATGATTAAAATTTTAAAATTATTGAATATTATCAAATTCTGTTATCCAATTTGTATATTGATATTTTTTTAAAGACTAATTAAAATTATTTAAGTGAATTTTGCTTTTTTAATGGTTTTTTACTAGAATTTGATTTTACTATACTATCAGTAACTTAGAATAGATTATGGATACAGGTTTTACGTTATTTTTACTGACATGATAATTTATGATTGAATGTGAATACTATCAATATATTTAAATTAAAATTTTGATTTTTTGTATATCGTATGTATAAATATTTTAATATTATTTATTAATCAGAAAACATATATTGTTTGTATTAATTATTATATAATTGTTGATTTTATTCACTTTGTTTTATAAAATAAATTTGTGTTTCAAAATAATTAAATTTTAATGGAAAGTATCTTAAACCTATAATAAAAATATATTTATAATATGTTTGCGTTTTGAATTTGTTCCCACTTTGAAGGTGTTAGCCGAGTCATATTTTTTAATTAACAGGCAAGGTCCTTCTTGAACCAATATGATAAAAACAAACTTTTAATTAAAATATAATATAACTGTATTTTAATTGTTTACTCAAAATTAATGATAAAATTAAAAACAAACCTTTACAAATGGATTTGACTTAAGTGATTGATTTAGGTGTTTAATTTTGATTGTGAATAAACTTAATCAAATCTATAAATATATTTATGTATGATATTAATAGATATATAACTATACTTTAATTCTTTAACCAAAATATCATTTTATCATAGTATTTTTTTTATTTTTTAAATAAATACTTATTAAGAGGATTGTTGATATTCAACTTTGAATGTGAAAACATGTCCACGTACGTCGTCGTCTTGTGAAAACAAAACTTTCACTGTTACCGTTGAGGCTAACCCATTAATTGGTTTAAGGAACAAACGCGTTTCCCAGACTATCGTCTAAATTTTCAAAGAGCAAACACTAGAATTAGTGTTTCAGCTTCTTCTGATTAATGCAGAAGCAGAGGGAGCGTTTCATTATTTGATTTTCTTTTTCATTTGCCACTTCATTATTCTTAATTTGCATTCTGACCTCTTCAATTGAGAATTTTCATTACACACCCTCTTCATTTTTTATTTTTTATTTTGTTTATGATTATGTATACATATTAGTTTTTCTAATTCATATTTTGATATAACTGTTTAATTTTTATATTTTATTGAGGGCACAGGTAAGCTATGCGGTGACACCAACACGAGCTAGGGGCTGGGGGATGAGACTCACGTTAGAACAGCAACGTCAACATCAGCAATGTGATGCACATTACATTACGATAACAACAACCGTCCCTTTCTAAATAAAATTTGGGCAGTAAAATCAACAGAGTTTAATTACAAACATGAGTTAAGAGATGCATCAATAGCTTTGATTTTTACCATTTTTTTTGCTTTAAATTACCAGAGAAATGATTCTGAATCTGATATACGTAAGTGAGAAATTAGTGACATGAGATTATGCAAAAGTAAAGTAGCATTTGGCTTGAAAATAAGAAAGAAGATGCAACGAAGAGTTAATTGGAAGAATAGAAATGATGAGATACAACAAAGAATCTTCGCTCGTCCTTCCGCGTTGTTGCTCAGTCCATTCCATACCGCGTTAATTGTTAAGCCTCTCTTTCTCTTTCATTTTTCTTGACTTTCGAGTTTTGATTCGCCGTTTGAAATGGTCAGCACATCAAATGAATCAACGGTTCACTCACACTCTTACACTCTCAATCTCTAAGACTCAAATCAAATCAGGGCCCACATCGTAGAAATCTATCTATTTCCTTTCCATTCAAATTCTCACCCTTATTTATACCATACTTAACAATATCCTCTTCGTCTCCCTCTCACCTTCTCCAAGCAATTCCTTGTCCATTTCACACTCACCTTCACTTCCTCAATAAGCACCACGTAGCTCATACCCTTCCTTGTAGTTCTTTACTCTACTCCCACCCATTTGGCATATCACTTGTTAACTTGGCCTTGTCCACTTCGATAATCTGCTTATGGTGACAAGTTTCCTTTTTTATTTTTGGAACAATTCACCAACCAATGCTTAAATGCCAAATACTTGCGAGTCTAGTGACTGTGCAGTGTGCATAAGCTGAATTCAAGGCCTTAGCTGCAACAACATGGAAGAGAGAACCAAGAGGAAACATTTCAGTCTGATCAATGAACTAATCCAAGGAAAGGAGCTAGCAAAGCAGCTCAGTAACCATCTGGTCTCTTCTTCTCCATCATCCCATGAAACCAATGAATTCTTGATTGAGAAGATACTTTCTTCCTATGAGAAAGCACTCACAGTGCTTAACACGGGGACTGTTGTGGGAGAGACTATGACCACAAGTGGCAACATGATGGATTCCCATTGTTCTACCAATGGGAGCCCCAGAAGTGAGGTCGTGGACCGTGAACTTGAGCACAAATCTGTCTTCAAGAAAAGGTAATGTCAAAGGTTACCGAGTTCTTGTGTTGTGTCTTTGTGACTTGTGTCAATTGTTTAGGCTCGTCATCTGACTTCAATCTGGGGCTATTTGAATTTGTGGGGTGCAGAAAGACCATGCCCAGATGGACTGAGCAAGTGAAGATTTGCTCAAGAACAGGACTTGAGGGGTCTTTGGATGATGGATATAGCTGGAGAAAATATGGGCAAAAGGATATTCTTGGATCCAAGTTTCCAAGGTTAGAAGCTCTTTTCTCGTATAACTTCTTGTTATAAATTAGCATTTTTTCATGTTATAAATTTGTATAATTAGCCTAATTTGAAAAATCAACGAATCAGTGGTCACTTAATGACCCCTAACGGGAAAAATAAAATGTACATGCCTGCTAATTTTTATTTTTTTTACCCATGTTTTAACGGCTCTAGACAAAACTTTTAAAATGACCGGTAATTCGTACGCTTATCCAAAGGGCTATGCCAGCTACGTTCAGTTCCATCCAAATTACTACCTTGTGTAAAGTGTGCCGAGTTACATTAATATGAGGTTATGTGAGTAGTGCAAAAAGGGATGCACCCGTACAGTGGAGAAACCTGACAATTTTGTCAAGCAGAACAAATTATTGTAAAGTGTCATGTTCGTTCTATGCGGTTGGCAGTTCACAACTTCATATACTCCATTCAGCCGTACATGCAATAGCATGCAAATTGCAATGAAATTCATAGTTAGTTAGATAGTGTGATGGGACAAAAATAGGCCTTTCTCTTATTCTTTATTTTTGGTAGATTTCCTCTCCAACTTCCTCATTACAGCATAAGACAAAAGGGGTTTCTATTAATATTTTTATTTGCTATTCAGACCATACTGAAGTTTATATGAACACAGAGAAAAGAGGAAAAATAAATATGTTCTGGTTTTGGCGAAAAATTGACAACTAGTTGTTTGCATTGCAGAGGATATTACAGATGCACACATAGAAATGTACAAGGGTGCCTGGCAACAAAGCAAGTTCAAAGGTCAGATGAAGACCCAACCGTAATTGAGGTAACCTACAGAGGAAGACACACGTGCATGCAAGCTAAGCATTTAAACAAAGCATTCCCATCAAACATAAAGATGAATTTGGGGGGAAATCAATTCCACTATGATCAACAACTACAAGAGAAAATACAACAAACCCCAAATGGAATTTTCACGTTTGAAACAGATTTTAAAGTCAAAACAGAGGAACTGGAAATGGAAACCAAGGAGGATATCTTCCCATGGTTTTGCTTTTCTTCTCCATCAATTGGATCAGAAAATGAAGACAACAACATGTTACTCGAAACCATGATTGAAAATCATTTCATGGAAAGCTTTTCTCCTGCATTCATATCACCAGTGACTTCAGAATCAAACCTTTTCTGTGTGTCAGCATGCCACTTGGGTAGCACTGGACTATGCCAAAACATACAAACCTCAGAATCTGATATCACTGAGATAATTTCAGCCCCAACTTCAGTCACCAACTCCCCAATCCTGGATTTGGATACCTTGCTTCATAAAGGTGATTTTGACACGGATTTTCCTTTCAACACCGCTGAATATTTCTCTTCACAAGACTTTGCATGCACTTCCACGTAGATAGTAAGAGTAAAGAACAGCATAGTCATAGTCTGTTTCAGATTAACGGGTGAGTTCTAGTCTCGTAGATCTTGACTAAGGAGGGTAATCATAAGTCCTGTTGATAATAAGTGAAGACGATGAAACCTCCCTCACCTATCATTCTAGTTTGGAGAGATTCCCTGCATGTAATGTACCTTTACTTAGGTAGTAATGCGCTAATAATCTGTAGCTGTAAACTACTTATGCATTTTCTTAATTCACTGGTACTTGGTTCATATGTTTTCTTTTGGCTCCAGCAGGGATGCAATTTCTGAAATCAATGAATTTTATCGCATAGTGTTGGCTAGAGAAAAGTGAATGTGATCAATTTAACCCAACATTTTTGGCCTCCGTAAACTTTTATTAACCACACAACATATTGGAAACACTTAATAGTCCCAGTCAATTCCCTTTTTTAAATTGATTTGGAACTGAGTTATTTTATTTAATCAACAAACAAAAATACTTATACTAGTAATAGCAATAAGATAGGGAGCAAAATGAAATGAGGCATGTTATAGCAAGGAAGGGTGTAGATGGAGACTAGAGATCACCCATCCTTCTTGCACATTTGATACAATCATCCAATATCATCTTGGCGTCGTATTTGTATACAAATCCTTTGTCACACAGCTTTGTGGTGGAGACCCACTTGATGTCCTTCTTCGGCTCATCTTCTTTTCTGAAATATGTGGTAAGCATCTGCCTGAGTTGTCGTCCAAAAATCAAATTTTTATATTTTTTAAATAAAAAAATACACGTTCCAGTAAATTCTAATGAACATATATGAATAAAATAAAACTTAATATATATCTTAATTTAAGTTCAATAATTTAAAATCAATTCTATCATAATTAATTATACTCGAGTTTAATAAAAACAAGGCTGGAGTACACACCGCACTAGATCGAGTCGAAAACTTCGTTAATAATTATAGAAAAAGCCAATGAGAGACACTTACTCTTGTTTCCCGTTGAATTCTGGATGATGAAGAGCATAGTGATTAGCCATCTCTTGCAATGAAATATAAGAACTTGCGCACAAGAATCTGCTATTCATTGAGGTGTTTTCCATGCAAAAAATATGAGCTTCACACACGTCATGAACATGTACAAGAGGAATTTTTCCCAGCAAATTTTCTAGGAACTTCAGTAATTTGTACTCTTTTTCATTTTGAAGGATCTGTGCTATACAAATAAGCCTGGTACCGGGTGTAAAAGATTGAAAGGTGTCACCTCCCACAAGCCCACAAGGGAGGGGCACCACTTCTAATCCATCACCATTTGCTTCGGTCCCATAGCTCAACACATGTTTCTCCGTCAGTGTCTTTGAATAAGTATAGTCCTTCAAAAATAAGACCAACACAATAAAGTCAAACCTTTGCATATTTTCATCTCTCAATTTACTACGTTGTGAAATTGGGGTGGCTTCTATCTCTCTATACGAAGTATCCTTATACAATCAAAGGCTTCTGCTGACATTACAATGTCTTGGATCGCACGTATACCTTAAATGCTAATTTCTCATGCTCACCATTGGCCTTTCAACTTATTGCCTTTATATGTAGTGTAGTGACTCCCCATATAACGAGGGACAAAAGATTAAAATTAAATAAAAAATAAAAGGTGGGGAAATTCTTATTTTTCTTCAATTAAAGAAAAAACATTATTATCTCTATCCTTTTTTCTTCCAAACATACTATAACACTGCAGGATTAGAAATTCGTCAGACCTGATATCTGATTTAGGGAAGCATGGATCCATATTCTTTCAAACCAAAGGCTTGATATGGGAAACGAATCTTATGGGGAGGTTGTGAAGTTCTTGGGAACAAATTGTGTTTGATATCGACAGAGAACAAATTCAAGAATCGAAATTTGGAAACTAACCTTGTAAGAAGGTTCTTGAAGGTATATATATTCCCACGAATCATTAAGAGGGGTCCAGCAAGTTTCATCCATAACGTCCTTGAAACCACTGCCATCATCTTTCAGCGGAGAAGCAGAACAAACAGACGCCGTGTAGATCAGACGCCTCACTGTGCCTGCTTTTAGACAAGACATGACAATGCTTTTTGCCCCAGCAAGTGATGCTTCACTAGTATCCTTGTACTGCTATGCATATGATATCACTGATAATCATCACACATACTAGATAAGTGAATAATTAGAAATTTTCTTATTTTCTATGTTGATAATTTTTTTAATTATTAAATATTCTAAAAATATTTAAGATTATTAATTAAAAAAATTTAGGATAATTTTATAGGAGGATTAACAAAAAAAAAAATTAATACATATGGTTTCGATTACGTATATGAGGAACATATTTGATTAGAAAATAAAGTATACTTATATTCTGATCGTTAAATTCGTTTCAAAGGAAGTGATATGATGAATAGGTGAACCTGCGAGTTGGGTTCATGGGTCATGGGAGTGGCAACATGAAAGACAAACTCGCAGCCTTGAATTGCATGCTCAAAGTGAATTGGGTTGTAAATATCAGCTTCAAACAGCACCAGTTGCCCTTCTGATTGTAGGAGGCTCTTCAAAACTCATTCTCTGTTATTGCAAATTGTAAATCTAATTCAGTGTACATTGTGCAGAATGAAAAAGATAGTTAGTGAGAGATTACTGACTCAAGTCTCTGAGAGTTGCATGGACTGTGTAACCCTTCGCTAAGAGCTTCTTCACGAGCCACGAACCAATGTAACCACTCCCTCCTGTCACGCACACCTGCACCTTTTCTCCATTACAATTCCCTTTCCTTCACCTACCAATCACACACACACCCCACTTGTGGCTCCTCTTCTCAGCTGTAGAAAGATATGAATGCATTGAGTTGAGGTTAACCCGCGAAAGAGACAAAATTATGAAGATTATTAGTTAAATTTTACTAAAATAAAAAAATATATTGTCTTTTTTATAATTTAATATTTATTATTGTTAATTCAATTATTTTTCGAGAAAATATTACCTAATCTTTCGAGAGAAAATTTGTCAACTAAAAAATAAAATGGTATTGATTTTAGGAACCTTAGGTGGTTTTTAAATTTGACCTACTTGATTAAGTTGAGTTAATTAGTTAATTTTAAATTCTTAGAATTACCACGTTCAATCCTTAAGTATAAGTATAAATGTAATACTTCCTATACTACTGATGTTTATGGTCATGCTAGTGATTCAAGTACTTGATATGACATAATTAAAGCTAGAAACTATGGAAAGAATGAAATATCTTTGAATATAAAAAATATTTGCTCTAACTTGTTTATGGTGAACATTGTAAATTGTAAAGAAATAAATTCAAAAACAATTTAGGACTGAATTTTAAGTTCTCTTAGATTCTTTTAAATGCGTTATTAAATGAAATGACAAAGTTAATGTTATAAAACAAAATATTAAGCAGGAATAATAAATCATAATTATTGAATGTAAAAGTCTTGTAGAAATGTAAATAAGAGTGAAATTGCAAGAACAAAACGTAAAGCAAATTGGAGGTAAACAAATTAAAATTAAGATGCAAAAATGTAAATGTACGATTCTTTACAATGAATAATAACAATTGTGAATCCTTTGATTGCTAGTGTCTAGCTAGGTGCAAACCTTTCAGCTTGTAAAAAATTTTAGGTGCTAGTGTTTGGGCGTAAAAAGTCGTTCTTTGGAAATATAAAGTTTCGTATTATTTATAAGCGGTGTATCTTAACATCTCTTATTACTTCTTGGTAACTGTCTTCTGTCCGTGCTTCTTCTTAGTTGTCGTTGTTCATTATCCATAACCATTTATGATTGTTCCTTCTAAACAACTGTTGTTGTTGAGATCGTTTCTTTGTATCCACGATCTTTTCTTCGTGTTTATAGTTTTTTTATTTTCAACTGATATTAACTATCGGTAACTATTCTTTTGATAGTCGCTTTAAACCTCATGATTTTTTGTCATGTTTCTTCACCTCTCGGACTTCATCATGCATCTGGGCCTTAAAATAAATTTATTGTCATTTTATATTTTGACAAGTTTTGAGAAAACATGTCAAGATATTCTTGTAAATTTAGAATAATTTTTCTATCAGTTCTTATTTTTTGACCAATTTTAGGGAAGATTTGTGACCTAATTAAGTTTCTAGACTTAGAATAATTTTTTTTGTCAATTCATATTTTGATAAGTTTTGATTCCTTTCAATCTCAAGCTTGAAAATTCCCCAATATTCCTTAAAAAACAATCCTTTTATTGACGAAAAATCAGCTTCCCTTCCAGACTTTCCAAAATTCCTTGAGATTAAACCTTCTTTTTGACAAAGAATAAGACTCTTTGTTAACTCTCCAAAACTTCTCAAAAAGTAGTTTTCCTTGGGGATGAGGACCCTCCAAGACTCCTCGAAATGTAGCTTTTTTTTTTTACAAAAAATGAGACTTTTCTGCTAATCTTCACAAAAAACATATCAAAAAATGACTTTTTTTTACCAAATATTAGGACTTAGATGTTTTCACATTTCATGGCTCATCAAAGTGTAGGAACCTAAGGTTTTGTGTATTTTTAGTCGAAAGACATAGTCTGTACCCTACCATAAAAGTTTAGTGAGGACCTGTTAACTTAAAGAATTTTACTTTTCCCAAACACGTATATAATATTACAAAGGGATAAGAAATTATATATAATTAATTTTTATTAAAAATTATAATATTTAATACTCTCAATCATTATATCTTGTGCAGTACTACACAAATTAAAAAAATCGTATACAAATAAAAATTTGATGTTTAATAATTTTATTAAACTACACAATATGTTAAAAATACTCTTAGTCTCTGCTCTCAGTTCTCTTTTTGTATTTTGATTTGGAACTGAGTAATTTTATTTCATCAACAAAGCAAAAATACTAGTAATAACAATAAGATAGCCAGATAGAAAGCAAAATGAAATGAGGAGACGCCTGATATGGCAAGGAAGGGTGTAGATGGAGACTAGAGAGCACCCATCCTTCTTGCACATTTGATGCAATCATCCAATATCATCTTGGCGTTGTATTTGTATACAAAACCTTTGTCACCCAGTTTTGTGGAGACCCACTTGATATCCTTCTTCACCCCATCTTCGTTTCTGAAATTAATACATTATAAATTTAGATGATAACTGAAAACGGCTTAGAAAAAGAAACTTTATTTTCTCTTCCATGGAAAATGTGTTTGATTAATATCTCGTTTCGTAAAAAAATATAACATTTAGTCCTCTGTGTTAAAAACAAATTGTGAAAGACCAAGGTAGCTTTTGACCCAACTTTTTTTCTTCTTGTAACAAAGTAAAGACGGACAAAACAAAACTCTTACAAGTAAATATT